CCTGCAGGTCAGCTCTACAGATCCTGCACAAAGCCTGTGAAGTCGCAAGGAGGTACAACTACTTCCCAGGTGGAGTGGCCTTAGTCTGGGCCACCTACTATGAAAGCTGCATCAGCTCTGACCAGAGCTGCATCAACGAGTGGAATGCCATGCAGGACCTGGAGTCCACTCGCCCTGACTCCCCAGCACTCTTTGTTGACAAGTAGGTTCTGGATTTGGCTGGGAAAAGTTACCTTGGCTCTCCAGAGAATCTCCCCTTCTCCCTGTTCCTCCCTCTCCTGATTCATTTCCTTTCCCTAAAACATTTCCAATGGGTTTTTTTTGGTTGTTGTCATAAAAAATTGACTTTAACAGCACCTTGACCCCACTCCCCCGTGCTGTGGGGGCTGCTCTGGGTGTTTGCTGCCAGCCTGGACACATCCTGTGCTGTTCCTGCTCCTTTCCAGGCCCACGGAGAGGGAACGCACGGAACGGCTCATTAAGGCCAAACTCCGGAGCATCATGACCAGCAAAGACCTGGAAAATGTCACTTCCAAGGAGGTAGATAGAATATTTCTTGCTCTTATTCTTCCTGCCAGACTCCTTTTCCCAAGGGTGAGGAGGAGGCACCATATGCCTGGGTGTCATTGGCTTGGGGTGTGCATTCCTACCGTTCCCTAAAGGCTCTGCCTCTGCTCCATTCCTCCTGGGAAACCAGGATCATTCCAGCATTGGGATATATCTTTCAGGAGTTTGCTTCTAGTGGCTCTCACATTGTGTTGTGAGCTGCTCTCCAAGGTCTTGTGTTTCATCTCCCACTTTATTTTCATGGACCCCCAAAAGACATTTGATTGTACTCAGATGTTACCTGAAGTTTTATTTTACAGCTCTTGAGTTTGGAGGCTTAGGGCACACCAGGATGGGTGGCAGGATGAGGAGCAGTGGTTAGAAACTGCCAAAGGACAGGGTTGGATTGGGATATAGGGAAGGAATCCTTCCCTGTGAGGTGCTGAGGCTCTGGCACAGGTTGCCCAGAGTAGCTGTGGTTGCTCCATCCCTGGGAGTGTTCCAGGTCAGGTTGGATGGGGCTTGGAGCAACCTGGGCTGGGGGAAGTTGTCCCTGCCCGTGGCAGAGAGTGGGACTAGATGATCTCTAAGTTCCTTCCAACCCAAACCATTCTGGGATACTTGGAGAGGTGCCATGTAGGGAGATTCCATGTCTCAGGAAGGTCAAATCCCTGTTGCTGTTTTTACTGAAGCACAGAAAAGTGTACTGCAGGGAAAAGCCACCAAATTTGCACCCAAGATTGCAGTGCCTTCCTTTGTGTTCTGCCCTGCAGATCCGAAATGAGCTGGAGAAACACATGAACTGCAACTTGAAGGAATTCAAGGAGTTCATAGATAACGAAATGCTGCTAATCCTGGGTCAGATGGACAAACCCTCTCTGATTTTTGACCATCTCTACCTGGTGAGTGTCAGGAGCTGCGGGAGAGCTGCACTGGGCTGCAGCAGATCCTTTGCCACTAGATGGTACTCCAGGCAAAACCAGGCGCTGCCTCTGGAACAAAGACTGCCTGGAGAGGAGCACAGAGGGTCTCTGAGGGAGGAAGTGTTTGAGGACAAAACCTGCTTTTTAGACAGTTTTGAGCTCTCTGTTGTGAAGGTTTGGGAGGAATCCGAGGTGTAACCACCCGCAGAGCTCTGAGGATTTGCCTCACTTCTCATGGGTGGCAAGACTGGGGTCACAGGTGTCATCCTTGTCTTTCCCTGCATCATGTTTAAATTCCAGAGGGACTAGGGGCAGTGAGCTGGGGGGAGATCACACACTGGCATTGAGCTAACTCTGCAATGAGTTGTCCCCTCCTTCAGCAGGTCCCTGGGATGCCACATTGCTGTCTCAGAGGCTTTCCCAGTGTTTCAGTCAGCAGCTCAGGGGGTGGCAGGGGCTCAGGGAAAGGGATTCTGTCAGCTCCTTGGCAACGTGTGCTTGTGGCTCTTGCAGGGCTCCGAGTGGAATGCCTCCAACCTCGAGGAGCTGCAGGGCTCAGGGTGAGTACTGCACCTTCCAGCAACACCCTTAGGCCTGGAATCCTCCAGCTGTTTGCCCACTCCCATCTCCACATTGCTGCTGGGCTCAGTTTCCTGCCACACTTCTTGCACAAGTGAGAACTTTGTGTGTAAATATTTGCACCGACCTCAATGTGAGGAACTGAAAATTATTGCTTAAGAGCATGGCTGAAAGTGTCTGATTTGGGTCCTTGGGAGCAGATGCCTGGACATCCTGGGGCAAATAAATCAAGCAGGATGTTAATAATTGTGTTCTGCATCAAGGCATTCAGTGTCTGAAGTCAAATTCTGAGGCAAATATCCTGTGGCCTTGATTTGTCTGATGATAGGAGGTGATGGATCAATATGGGCACTGGTTCTCCTCAAGGACATTGTCATCCCTGCTGTCATATTTGGCAGGAATCAAGAGGTGCCACGTGAGTCTCATGGCTTTGGTCAGAAAGAAGAGAAAAGGATGTGTTTGCAGCTGAAAGTGCAGTTGGAAGGGATTCCTGGGTTCTGTTCCCAGATGATTCACTTGCAGCTGATGCCCTTCCTTCTGCAGCCCCAGAGCTGTGTGACACAGTCAGGAGGTTACACAGGCCCAGATCAAACAAATGGGATAAAATCAGCTTCTCCCAGTTGTTGCCAGGGTGTTTGAACGCTTTGCTGGGATGTGCTGGCAGGGAGAGGTGGGAGAATGACCAGACCCTGTGCCTGTGTCACCAGGTGTCTGAGGGATCAGGATTAGGCTTGGGGATCAACCCTTAAGAGCTCATGTTGGCTCAGATTTCATGGATTCACCATCCATGAGTCCCTCTTTGCTGACCTTGGCAGCTCAGGTGTGTGTCCCTGTTCCCTCAGCATCGACTACATCCTGAACGTCACACGGGAGATCGATAACTTCTTCCCTGGGCTCTTCGCCTACCACAACATCCGCGTGTACGACGAGGAGACCACGGACCTGCTGGCACACTGGAACGAGGCCTACCACTTCATCAACAAGGCCAAGTGAGTGGGGAGGGACACATCCAGGCCACTGTGCCCTCCGTGTGGCATCCCACGTGGAGCCAGGCCCTGCCAAGGCCACGTGTGGCCAAAGGAGGCAGCAGGGCCTTGGCATCCCACTGGTGCCAGGAGCTGTGTATCCCTGGAACTCCCCTGTGCCTTGTCTCTTCCAGCACTGCCATTTACCTGTCCCTAGCCTGTTGTTTGTAGTCTTGCTTTGGTTTGCTTCCAAAGGGAAATGAGGATGTTTGCTGTTCTGGAGATGATGTGGAGCTGCTCTGGTGTGTGTCCGTGTTGGACCTGCTCCAGCTGTCCCTGCAGACAGGAGGTGGTGGCAGCCTGGCAAACACTTTTCATGCTGATCCCTGTATCCAGAGGCTCAGATGGGCAGGCAGGAGGTTTCATGATGGTCTCTAACTTCCAATTTTTTTGGAGAGAGATTGTTCTCCTGGCCCATGTAATCCAGGATTTTTCTGGAGAGGGATTGTTCTCCTGGCCCATGTAATCCAGAGTGTTCCTCACCTATGGAGCAGTGGTGCAGGGTGGGCACTGTCCCTCCTCCTTGTGAAGTGACAACAAACCCATAACAACAACATGAGATTTGCACTCAGAGTATCACAGAGTGTTCAGGGGTTGGAATGGAGCTC